AGAGGAGAGGAGAGGAGAGGAGGGGAGGGAAGGGAAGAGGAGGGAGGGGAGAGGAAAGGAGAGTAAAGGAGAGGAAAGGAGAGGATAAAAGAGGGGAGGAGAAGAGAGGAGAGGAGACGCGGGGCGCCCTCTCTTCAAAAGATGATTCGACATCACATGATGGTTGAAAAAAAAACGTATGGGGTGCAAAAGGTTCGCTTATTGGGTCAGCTTGGAGGTCATCCAAGAGCGCACCGACAAGATGTCTCAAGGCAGCTCTTGGCGCATCTCATGTTTCGAGGGTGTCTCAGGCGAAACTGTCATGTTTTAAGTTCCGAAGATTCGGTCAGCGAATTCAACATCTCCAATGTCCGAGGACGTCTCAGGCGCAACGCTCATTGTTAGCGTAAAACGGCTTATAGAGCCTCCAAGATCGCGATTCGGCGAGGATGTCGCAGGCGAGACGCTCGCTTGAAAACCTTTCCTGACATGGACGGGCAGCGCGGGAAAGCGATGAATTGCGCAAGGACGTACAACATCATCTCGACCAAATGTAATGTACGCGAGCTCGCCGAACGTTCACAACGGGTACCTATGGACACACTCTCTCCGACCGTTCGCAAGCATATATCTGAGTATATTCTCTATCTCTCTCTCCTCTGTGCACTTCCAGATTCCCCCTACATGCATTTTCCAATATACTGACCCTGCACACCCTACGAACCCCACAGACCCTCAGCATACAGACTCTAACCCTACAGACCCTGACCCTACAGACCCTAACCCTACAAGCCCCAACCCTACAGACCCTACTACCCCTGCAGACCCTAACCATACAGACCCTAACCCTGCAGATCCTAACCCTACAGACCCTAACCCTACAGACCCTAATCCTACAACCCTAACCCTACAGACCCTAACCCTACAGACCCTAACCCTACCGACCCTACTATCCCTACAGACCCTACCGACCCTACAGACCCTAACACTACAGACCCTAACACTGAAAACTCGGACCCTAGAGACCCTAACCCTACAGACCCTTCGAACCCTACAGACCCTAACCCTACAGACCCTACTGACCCAACAGACCATCGCCCTACATAGCCTAGCCCACATCGGCATGTCCATCATGCTATGATGATGTCGAGGACCCGTTCGAAGGAATGTGTATGGGGATTTCTCGAGCGAAACGCATACTGTTACACAAACGTGTAGGAGAAACATGTGTGTTCCAATAATTTCGCTTATTGGGCCATCTTTGAGGTCATCCAAGAGCGCTCCGAAAAGATCTCAAAACAGCTCTTGGTGCATCCCATGTGTTCAAGGATGCCTCAGGCGAAGCGACCATTTTTGAAGTTCAGAAGATGAGGCCAACGATTTCAACATCACCAATTTCCGAGGATGTCTCGGGGAAATCGCTCATTTGAAGCATAGGGCGTCGTAAAATACTACCCCCAAGATGCGAGTTGGAGAGGATGCCTCAGGCGAAGCGCTCGTTTCTAAATCCACCAAGTCGCGGCGGAGGAGGTACCCGCCACCACTCCCCCCCTGGACCCGCCCACTTGATAAAGATTTTCTCTCCGGGCACGGATGCAACGTCCATCGCGCGACTCTTCGAGTCTAAGCGCGCTTCCCGTCATCCGACGAGCCCCCGACCAACGAGCAATCCCGAATCATTCCCATCCTGGAGCCCCCAGTTGATGAAGATATTCCTGTGGGCGACATACGTCCATCGCGGACTCTTCGAGTCTAAGCGCGCTTTCCGTCATCCGCCTGGTCCCCGACCCGCGAGCGATCCCGAACCATTCCCCCTGTGCACGCCCCAATTGATATATCCCTCTGGGCGACATACGTCCATTGCGCGATTCTTCGAGTCTACGCGCGCTTCTCATCATCCGCCACGCCCAGAACGAACGAGCGACCCCCTCACCATTCCCCCCCTGGACCCCCCTCCCCCACGCATAGATAAATATATCCCTCTGGGCGACATACGTCCATCGCGCGACTCCTCGAGACTAAGCGCGCTTCCCCTCGTCCCGAACCATTCCCTCCCCTGGACCCCCCGAGTTGATAAATATATCCCTATGGGTTCACATACGTCCATCGCGCGACTCTTCGAGTCTAAGCGCGCGTTCCGTCATCCGACGTGTCACGACTCTCGGTTCCACCCCGAACCATTCCATTCCTGCACCTCCCCAGTTGATGAACATATCCCTCTGGCCTCAAACACGTCCACCGTGCAACTCTTGAAGTCTGAGCGCGGTTCCCGTTATCGGACCAGTCACGAATCTCGGTCCCACCCCGAACCATTCCCCCCTGGACCTCCCCCCGTTGATAAATATACCCTTCTCGGCGACATACGTCCATCGCGCGACTCTTCGAGTCTAAGCGCGCTTCCCGTCATCCGCTAAGTTTCTTGCCCAAGGTGAGGGCTTCTACGGCAATGGCTCCAAGCGGTGAAACCCAGCGCATCCTGGACGCAACAGTCTCTTGACGCCCACGGGAAGAGATCGCGCAGCGCGCGGAACGAAGTGAACCCGAGGTACCCTGAAGAAACTCATCCAGTGTCTTGATGCGCGTCCCCGCTGTAGGCCCTCTGGTGATGAAATCACCCCTGATCGAAGCTCCCTCCTCCTCCTCCGAGACCGCTGTGGCTGCGGAGCCGGAGTGCCGTTTTGGACCATCGCGAGTCGGCCGACTCGCGCGTGCTCTGCCGCGAGGGAGAGCAAAACAACACCGGTCTGTGCGAGGTCTGTGCGGCGAGCCCCCGGAGCGCCGCCTGCCGAATTCGTGCGCCCATTCTGCGAAAAAGGCCGCACGGCCTGAATTCCACTACGGTACATGGCAGCCGTGGCGCCGGAGCAAAGTCTGCCCCTCCTCCTCATCCGCTGCCTCCTCTTCCCCCTCCCAATGCCGATACTCGGGTCTCCCGCGGCCGTTCGGGGCGATCCAGGACCACCGCGGAACTCCCTCGGCGAGGCGCAGCTGCTGGGAAGCAACCCGAGGCTGGAGAACCGACGAGAATTGGCGAAATCGCCCGAAAACATCGAAACTCGCCCTCCCCTCCTCCCTCCTCTTCATCCTCCTCATTCTTCCTCCTCCTCCTCCTCCTCCTCCTCCTCCTCCTCCTCCTCCTCCTTCCTCCTCCTCCTCCTCCGCCTCCGCCTCCGCCTCCACCTCCTCCTCCTCCTTCTCCTCCTCCTCGTCCGCTTCATTAGAGGCCTCCCGAATGGAGTCCGAGTGGATGGGGTCGGAGGATCGCACCGCATCGTCGGCGACGCATCGATGCATCGACAACGTCGGCGTGGGAAACATCAAGCTCAACATCGAGCCGCATAGCCGATGCATCCGTGTTGCGGCGCTATCCTCCGACCCCATCTACTCGGACCCGCTCGTCGTCCGGTTTTCGGGTCCTACCTTGGCTTTCTAGCGGCCGTTCGGGACGATCCAGGCACCCCGGGAACGCCCTGGACGAAGCGCAGCCGATGGAAACCACCGCGGGACTCAGAAGCTTCCGAAAACATGCAGAAACCTATGGAAACGTCCGAAGGACCCCATCTGCTCGAACCCCCTCCCATCTGGAAGGACCTCATCTACTCGGACCCCATCTGCGAGGCCTGGATTTCTACTCCCCTCTCCTCCTCGTGCCTCCTCCCTGCACGGAGGCGAGCACGGCGTCCAGCGGGCGGCTCTCTGCTGCCGAGGGCCGTGCCGCTCACCACTGCGCGCGGTGCGGCTGGCTGCGCCTTCCGTTTGGAAGGCGGCCCTCTCATGCCTTCGCCTTGGGGGGAGGGGGGGGGTCGAGGACCGGAGGCGGCCAGCCGAGGAAACGGCAGCCGTCCATGCGTTTCTCGTCGTCCTTGTGTTCCTGGAGGCTTGGGGTCGCCACGGCTGGATCCGCTTCGGAAAGTTCTGCGTGGATCCTGGGAAAGGTACTGATTCTTCCCTACCTTGGCTCTGCCTAGGAGGGTTCTTACTCGATTGGCTCAAAGTGGCCGGGCAGTGCAAACCGCCCCGGGCGGTTCCCCCAGTCCCCTGGGAGCCAAGCAAAAGCAACAGCAAAGGTAAAAGCAAACGCGCGGTTCCTACTAATGTTGCTTTGCTAAAGGCTCCAACTCCTAGGTAGGGTCGCACTGGGATAATGAACGGATTCTGTAAGCGGATGACCATGACGACGCCGACAAGATTGGAGATGACTTTTTCGATCCCTCCATTTTCCGTTCGATTTCGGCCTCTGGAGTGCGTGATCGGGCCCCAGGACCATCAAAAATAGACCCCCAGGCAGGCGCGGCCCTGGCCAGGGAAGGATATTTTGTATTGGGATGGCGATGGCGATGACAATGACGAGGACGATGGCGATGGCGATGGCGGGTGGCGCTGCCACTGCGGGCGGCCATCATACCATCATGTCATCATGCCATCGCCTGGGGGGGATCTTCTGTGTGAGTACTCCTCCCCATCGTCTCTCCTCCTTCTCTTCCCCCTCCTCCTGCAAATTCCCGAGGATTTGCACGAGAACGGATCCACGAGGTTTGCTGCTCAGCGGTGATCAGCAGATGCGCTGCTTGGTCACTTGAGCCAAACGGCGTCGGTAACGACATCCGTCTGACCTTCACTCAAGAACATCCTTCTCACCCAGTCGCAACGCTATAACTTGGCAGCCCCCCTGCCCCCTCGGCAAATTACTTGGCCGACTGTGAAACCGGGGAGAAGCAAGCAGCTAAGAGAACGGGTGGAGAATAACTATACACTGGAGATCATCTGACTGAAGCCGAGCCTCCTATCCAGCGAAGTAAGTGAACTGTCAGAGTGTAAAGATGCATAAAAGGACACATGCAGAAGGCGACTATGGCATGGGCGTCAACGTGCAGCGACCCCTAACACGCGATATACTATATTGTAAGTGACGTGAAGTACCATGATGATGGCTCATGGTGACGGTGATGGTGATGGTGATGGTGATGATGCTGGCGGTGGTCATGATGATGGTGATGATGATGATGATGATGATGATGATGATGATAGTGGTGGTGGTGGTGGTGGTGGTGATGATGATGATGATGATGATGATGATGATGATGATGATGATGATGATGATGATGATGATGATGATGATGATGATGATGATGATGATGATGATGGCGATGAGGGTGGCGACCATGATGGTAATGATGATGGTGATGATGATGGTGATGATGGTAGTGGTGGTAATGATGATGGTGGTGACGATGCTGATGGTGATGATGGTGATCGTGATGGTGATGGTGATGATGATGATGATGATGATGATGGTGGTGATGGCGATGGTGATGGTGATCGTGTTGGTGAAGGTGATGGTGATGATTCATGCTGATGCTAATGGTGACGCTGCTGGTGATGAGTGTGATGATGAGGATGGCAATGGTGATGATGATGATGATGTTGATGGTGGTGATGTTGATGCTAATGAGGGTGGTGGTGGTGATGACGATGATGGTGATGCTGGTGCTGGTGGTGGTAATGATCATGATGGTGATGATGATGCTGATGATGTTGACGATGTCAATGATGATGATGGTGGTGGTGGTGGCGATGATGATGAATGGTGATGGTGTTGATGATGATGGTATTGATGATGAAGATGAGGTTGATGATGATGGTGATGATGATGATTATGATGATGATGTTGATGACTATGATGGCAGTGTGGCGGCTGTGGTGACGAAGGCGAAGATGACGACGACGACGACATCGACGGTGATGAGAACGGTGGTAGCGATGATAATGGTGAAAACGGTGATGCTCGTTATAATGATGAGGAGGAGGCGGAGAAGGAGGGGGAGGAGGAGGAGGAGGAGAAGGAGGAGGAGGAGGAGGAGGAGGAGGAGAGAAGAGGATGGAAGAGCAGGGAGGAGGAGGGAGGACAAGGTGCGACAATGAGGAGGGAGGAGCATGATGAGGTAAGAGGGGGGAGGAGGAAGAGGAGGAGGAGGAGGTGGAGGAGGAGGAAGAGGTGGATGGGAGGAGGACGACGACGAGAAGGAGGAGGAGGAGGAGCAGGAGGAGGAGAAGGACGAGGAGGAGGAGGAGAGGGGAGACTCCGAGAAAGGATCCCGGGCCCCGCGTCTCCAGGGGGGCGGCCGCCGCGAGCTCGAGGGACTCGGCCAGGGCAGCCCAGGGGCGCTGCTGGTCCTCCACCTGGGGGCTGGGGGGGTGGCGGGGGGCGAAGACGAGGAGGGAAGGAGCGGGAAGGAGGGACGATGAAGGAGGGGGGGGGGAGGAGGAGGAGGTGGAGGAGGAAAGAGGGACGATGAAGGAAGGAGCGGGAAAGAGGGACGATGAAGGAGGGGAGGAGGATGAGGAGGGACGATGAGGAGGAGGAGGTGGAGGAGGTGGGGGGGAAGGATGCGATGGGTGGGGGGGTGGGGGAGGAAGAAGGGCGTGGGGGGAGGAGGGAGGAGGAAGGGGGCGGGAAAGGGGGGATGGAGGAGGGGGGACGGGGAGAAAAAGGAAGGGAGGGAGGGAAGGAGGGAGGGAGGCAGGAGGAGAAAGCCCAGCGTATGAAGAGTCAACCCGAAAACTGTGACATCTACTCTGAACCGCGTCCCTCAGGGAGGGAATGGAGAGAGGGCGAAGCCTCACGCACAGAGCGGAATACATGGGAGGTCCCCGAGGCACGCGAGGACAACGCAGATGAAAAAGAAGACCCCGAAGAGCGGGGGGAGAAAGAAGGAGCCGCAGCTGAAGGCATTGCTCACGAACAGAATACTTGGCTACCCCAGTAGAAGCCGATGTCCAACGCAGGGAATGCAGCGAACGAGACCCTGGCCAGCAGAGACCCACATGTAGTCGTCGTCGCGCTGGAGCTCGTCATGGCGACTTCCCTCAGGCAGGAGCGCATCATGGAGACGTGCAGCAGGCTGTGACACATGACCCAGAAGCTCGCACACCCGGTCGAGCCGAGCTGTTTGAAAAGCGGCTGTCTCGTCACCAGAAGCGTCGCACCAGCAGCATAGCACATCAGGGTGCTGATCGTCATGGTCAGATTCGTCCGCCCGTTCATGTGCAGCTGCACGCACTTGGCCCAAGCCGGCCCAGTCCAAATCGTGCACATCTTCTGCCTTATCAGCTTGCACGGGAAGACGCTCCGGGCCAGGACGCCGCACAGCAGCTTCACCGACGTCCCGAGGAGCTCCACCATAGGAGGAGGAGGAGGTGGAGGAGGAGGAGGAGGAGGAGGAGGAGGAGGAGGAGGAGGAGGAGTGGGGGGAGGAGGAGCAGGAGGAGGAAGAGGAGGAGGAGGAGGAGAGGAGCAGGAGGAGAAGGGAGAGGAGGAAGAGGAGGAGGAGAAGGAGGAGGAGGAGGAAGAGGAGGAGGAGGAGGAGAACAAGGAGGAGGAGGAGGAGGAGGAGGAGGAGGAGGAGGAGGAGGAGGAGAGGGAGGAGGAGGATCGACCTGCTCGGCGTCGCAATCCTCAGCCTGCACTGGCGGGAGCCCTGCGCCAGGGCCGCCCGCGGGCAGCCCCTCTCGTCTGTCACCGTGATGCCCATCGTGCTGCAGCCATGCATGTTTAAAGGGGCCCTGGGACACACAAATAAATACACATATAACAGGATTCCCCACATTTCCCCATATTTTCTGGGTTTTTGATACCAGCTTTGAGCTTCTGACTCGTTTCGTTGAACTCGTTCCGCATAGAGTCCAGCCGAGCCTCCAGCGCACCAGCCTGCATGGGGGTGGGCTGGTACAAAAACAACGTCGGGAACACGCGCCTCCGCTCGCCCAAGGAGACCAATAAGAATCCCAATCGTGAAGTCTGGGTTTCAGCAAGTCTGTGCCACTGGCAAGAGGCACTCGCCACGAGAAGAGCAGCATTGTCATACTCCACACCGTTCGTTGTGGCAGCCACGCCCGCGGCAAAATCAGATACACTAGCGACGTGGAAAAGACCGTCCACATCCGCAGCAGAGCATCCTCCCCGAAGGGCAACACAGTCGTCATCGTCCAGGTCCGAACCATTGACATGAAGAATAGCCTCACAACGTGCAGCCACCATCGCGGCAGACCTCTGGGGCGAGAGACCATTGTCACAAAAGATCTTCCCCGCACGCGGCAGATCCCTCTTGACACGCTACAAGAAGGCAGAGACCAGCGTGAAGTCTTCCTCCATAGCACTCTCAGCATGCATTGCAAGAAGTGGGCGATGCCGCGAACGAAGCGCACGCCTGGAAACGCGACGGACAGCCAGGGCGGCGGAGGCAGCGCCAGGAGTGCCACCCGCGTCCAAGAACCTGCACACGCGATAGGGTCCACTGCATGAGTGAAGCTCGAAGCCCATCGCCTGGCTGAAACCAATCTGCATGAAAAGGGCGAGTTCGAAAGCTCGTACCCGAAGCCGCCGGTCAACGTCATCCCCACGGGGAGGGGAGGAGCGCCGACAGGAGCCGCCGCCGAGCGAGGGACCGCGGCAGGCGCGGCAGCAGAACGTGGTGAGCACCGCGTGGACAGCGACCGAGCCAACGCCTGCTGCCTGTCCGAAGCGTCGCACGCAGACGGCACCCTGACCCTGTTGAGGAGGCGGCGGCGCTTCGCATCGGCACTGCGGCAGTGCGTGCCGCGCACGCGTGAAGCCGACGCCGCCCCTTCTACCTCGAGATCACACCATCGGCCACTGGAGGCAGCCGCCGTCCACATCAGGGGCCCCGCGAGCACAGCCGCCAGCGCGGCCGATGCACGAGGGCGAGGGCTCCGCAGCGCCATGGAAGCATCGCAGCGTCCACGCGCGCGGCCGACGCAAGAGCCCTTGACTTGAGCCAAAATGGCTACGGAGGGAGGAGGGGGAGGAGGAGGAGGAGGAGGAGGAGGAGGAGGAGGAGGAGGAGGAGGACGAGGAAGAGGAGGGGGGAGGAGGAGGAGGAGGAGGAGGAGGAGAAGGAGGAGGGGACGAGGAGGAGGACGAGGAGGAGGAGGAGGATGGAGGAGGAGGAGGAGGAGGGAGGAGGAGGAGGAGGAGGGAGGAGGAGGAGGAGGAGGAAGAAAGGAGAGAGGGGGGACAACGACGAAGGATGAGGATGAGGACGGATAGGAGATGCTGGTGCTGCGTTCGAACCCCAGCGCGATCACACTATCTCCAGTGCCCTCTACTCGGTCAGCACATGCACGTTTATGCACCTGCACATGCACATGCACATGCACGTGCACGGTCAGCACATGCACGTGCACATGCAGGTGCAAAGATACCTGTATAGAGAGAGAGAGAGAGAGAGCGAGGGGGGGAAGGGAATGAAAACGAGAAAGAGAAAGGGAAAGAGAGAGAGAGAGGGAGCTGAGAAGTAAGAACAAGAAGGAGGAAGGGCTGGAGGTATGGAGTGGAGTATGGGGCGAGGTATGGGAGGGGAAGGAGGAAGAGGAAGATAAGAAACAAGATGGGCACTATAATGTCTCAAAGGCTCTGGCGGTTATGAAAGGTTTAAGGATGATCCACTGGGTTCAGATGGCCGTCCTCCTCATGGTCCTAGGGGGCGAGGGGGTCAAGGAGGGCAGGAGGAGGAAGAGGAGGGGCGGAAGAAGGACGCCTCCAAGAGGTCCTTGAGAGGTATTCCAGGAGATCATCTTATGGATCCCCGAGGCCCCTGATCCACAAGCCAGGCACAGTGGCACGACTCTCGCCGAACTCACTGTTATCGGGCATGCTAGCCGGCGGAATGGAGTAAGCCTCTTGAACACATACCTGCAAGTGTAATGTGTGACTCGTCCACACATCGATGTGCTCACAATTGAATGGAATGGAAAAGCACGTCTATGGTTGGAAACCAGACATGGTTATACGGTTGGAAATTTGGCCGTTCCCCATGATGACGTTCTGTTTTGAATGCATGCCTACCTCATGCTGAAACGTACCTTGGACATCTGGGGAAACAGGCATTGCGACGAAAGCACTGTGCACTGTTACCCGCAGACCTGCACGATTCAGGACCAGCAGCCACTTGCCGAACCAATGTCTGGTAGAGTTGCTCAATGAAGTCAGCTTCAGACCCCGCTCATATTTATCATGTTAGTATTGCCAGTCGGGATTGCCGAGCTTCGGAGACAAGGCTTCACGGTTGCGGCCATCCAGAGCACATGGAGGCAGAGAAACAAGTGATACACCGTTTTCTGTATGGGCGAGGATCTGCTACAACATATGTGGTCTACTATGAACAACGCCTGAGGACGACTCGATGTCCGTGTCGAGTTCTCTTCGGCGACGGGCATATCCACCCGTAGTTGCCGAATTCAGGCGTTGAGCTCGCTTCCGATGCAACGCGCAGCATAAAGAAAAAAAAACAGTTATTATAAATACTCCGTGTCCGTTCGTAACATGATGGGACCTGTTCGGGTTATTTAAAATAAATCTGGAGCTCTTCCTGACGCAGCTCTGGCACCGCCGCCCCAGGAGGCTCCGAATGCACACCTCGTTCACAGATAGCATTTCGGAATGGTCGTCCCGCCCTCGCGTGTCTTGGTTAGGCTGATCCAGAAAGGCATTGCAAGTAGCATGCGTCAGCGAAGCGGGTGAGTCAGTGTTCAGCTTGGTAGTGTGTCGCACTCGAGGGTTCGCATGCGTGGTTAGGCAGGTTCTAAGGTCAGATTCTGCACTGTAATAAATCTATATAAATATATCGGTGTGCAGGCTGCCCTCATCTGCTAACATGACTTTGACACGCCCGAGAAAAAAAGAAATAGTGCACAGGCCCTTGCAGTATCAGTGTGAGTTCATATGTCGTGAGGAAGAGAGATAGAGAGAGAGAGAGATAGGGAGAGATAGGGAGGTAGGAAGAGGAACGCGTGGAGGTGGATGATGAATGGAGGGAGCAGGATAAGGTGGAATGAGAAGGGAAGGAGGGGTTCGGTCAAGGGGGGCGAGAGGGGGAAGAGGAGGTGGAGCAAGGGGCGGAACAGGTTGCGGCAAATGAGCATTTGCAGGGGTAACGGGAGGTGAAATGGGCAGGGGAGAGGGGATTGGGTCAGGAGGGCGGGAGGGAAAGAAGGGATAGAGCAGGAAGAGGGACAGGTGAAGGCGGATGCGAAGGGAGAGGCTCCAGGGGTAATTGGGGCTGCTTTGAGGTAAGACTCGTACCCACAGGTAGAGGCGAATAGATGGACTGAGGGGAAAGGGGGGGGGGGGGGCAACAGAGGGAGGAGGGGAGACGTCGGATGGGTCAGGTGGCAGGGGGGTGGATGAGAAGGTGGATTGGCAAGAGGGACGCGTCAGGTCTGCTTTCGTCCGTGCCAACCGCCTTCGTCCACACGACCTTGCACGGGGTGTTCCTCTGGCGAGTCTGAAAAAAAAACATCCCGGCGCTCGGCACGTCCCGAGAGGCGCTCTCATCGGCCGTGCCCGGGGCCGTCCCCGCGGCCCGTGCCCGCGTTCGAACGGCCACCACCGACATAAACACGATCCCGCCAGCCCTTTTAGGGCGCAGGCGGTTTAGGGCGCTTCCTCTCCCACCCCCCCTCCCTCCCTCTCGAGGAGGGGTGTACCTCTGCCTCCTATGAACTAACACCCCCTCCCCCACCCGACCGGCAGCCAACCAGGACCCATGCGACACCCATGCGAACACCCCCCCTATCCCTGTCCAGAAAAAATGTATAATACAATTTGCCTCCAAATCTAGAGCATGGCACAGACGGCAGGGGGGGCAGCAAAATCGCCTGCAGTGCGCAGTGCCCACACCCCCCAACCATCCCTTGCGAAAACCAAAACCAAAGTGCACTCTGCATCATCAAAATCTGGATCACGCGCGGACGCCCCGCGATCACTTTGCACTGGCGCCTGAGCGGAATGGCGGGAGTGCCGACACTTTCAAGTGAAAAGACATGCCACCCCGCCGGGGACGGCGGGCGGGGGGGGGGGGGCGGCACGCAGCCTGCCGTGCCGCAGGCCCACCGGCCCCGTGGAAGAACGGGTGCGGAGCGATCGAGGGCGCACGCCCGCACACGGCAGGCCCGCCGTCGCTCTGCGCTGGTGTCTGCTGCGCACGGAGGGCGGGCCGACACGTTGCCCCGCGTGGCGCACGTGGTGCGCGTGGCGCAGCCGGCATGTGCGGCACGCCTCGCGGATCCGCGCACCTGGATGGCGTCTGCGCTGGTTCCCGATGGTTGTCGATGGCGGCCCCTGTCCATGCCGTGTGTCCTCCAGAGAGGAGGAGGAGGTGCCCTCAGCGCCTCCTCCACTCCTCCTCCTCCTCCTCCTCCTCCTCCTCCTCCTCTTCCTCCTCCTCCTCCTCCTCCTCCTCCTCCTCCTCCTTCTCCTCCTCCTCCTCCTCCTCCTCCTCCTCCTCCTCCTCCTCCTCCTCCTCCTCCTCCTCCTCCTCCTCGGGTGCCACTGGTGTGCTGGGAGAGCGGGCGGAAATGGGCGCGACGGCCTGCTGTCTGTGGGTAGCTCGACCCCTTCGCGATACCCCTTCCCTGGACCTGGGCAGCGCGCCCAGCGACCCATAGGAGCGTCCCAGAAGGCCTCGGCGAGAAGGCAGAAAGCACTCATTGTCCAAAGGCGAGGCTCATTGACCTCCTTTCAAGGCGAGGCTCATTGAGTAATTCGATCGAGCTCCTTCAAAATAGGCCTAAGATGACCCCCAATGCTCCCGAGAGTGCCCCAAGAGGCGCCCAGGAGGTCCCATGAAACCCCCAACAGGCTCCTCAGGGGCTCCCAATACCCCCAAAAGGCCCATAAGAGGCTCCCCCGAGGCATCCAAGACGCCCCAAGAGGCCCCCTGAACCGCAAAGAGGCCCCCAAGACGCCCCACGAGGACCCTAAGCAGCTCTCAAGAGACATCCGAAAAGACTCCGAGAGGCATCCGAGAGGCATCCGAGAGGCCTCTGGCCTTTCTACTCGCCATGTTCCTCCTTCTCCTCCTCTTCCTCCTCCTCCTCCTCCTCATCATCATCATCATCATCATCCTCCACCTCCTCCTCCGTCTGTTGTTATTATCTCAATCATATTAGTATTGGTACTAGTAATGGTGGTATTACGCTTTCGTCGTAGTATTACTACTGATATCAGCGTCACCGGTATGATTGGTATCAGCAATGGTAATGTTATCCGTATGCGTATTAGTATCCATGTTCGTAGTTGTATAATCAACGGTAACAATGTTATGATTGCTAGTAAAATCATTAGTATCCGTATTGGTAGTAACAGTAATGTTATTAGCATAGTGAGCAATACTATGATGGTTGATCGTATTAGTATTAATGTTGTTGCTGGAATAGTATTACTTAACCGTACTGAAGGTATCGTGAATTTTCGAGTCGCAGTGGCATGTTCATTACTATGGTTGGTATGTTCATCAACAATAGTCGTATGAATAGCTTTGGTACCAATATGAATGTTAATACTTGAATGTTCTGAGTGTCAGTGATTGTAGTTATGTGTTTAGTCTTACTATTAGGATAATGACGAATACTAGCATCAGTAGTAACAATCCTACTACTAGCATTCGGTTTTTTATGTGTGTTCCTCCTCCTTCTCCTCCTCCCCCACCTCCTCCTCCTGCTGATGCTCCTCCTCCTCCTGCTCCTGATCCTCCTCCTCCTCCTCCTCCTCCTCCTCCTCCTCCTCCTCCTCCTCTTCCTCATCCGCCTCTTCCTCCTCCTCCTCCTCCTCCTCCTCCTCCTCCTCCCTCCTCCCTCCAGCCCCCATCCGCCTTCCCTCTTCGCCTCCCCCTCCTACTCCTCCTCCTCCGACTCCGACTCCGACTCCGACTCCGACTCCATCCTCCGCCGCTTGAGGTATGACGGCTTCCCAGCCATTTGTTACACTGCTTGCTCCTCCACATCCCTGATCAGGGCAACTCGCCTGGGCATCGTTTCTGGATGAGCTGTTGGGGATACGCGAAGCGACTAAAGTATGGCCCCAGACTAGGCATCCGTCTCGGCCCATCTCCGTTTCCCTCCTCCGCTGACTCGCTCACCGTCACACGCGTCCGTAGCCTCGCCTTTCTTCTCCACCCCCGCCAGGTCATCCCTCTTTACCGCCGTCTCCGATGTCTCCCTCCGTTTCCGACGCTCAGTCCTCCACCTCCTCCCACCCGACCTCATGCCAAGACTTTCTCAAAGGCGACTCATTAAAGGAACGTGCGACAAACAACTTACACCGTCTGGTGGGGCGCTCCAGCTGAACTCCCCGACCTCCGATGTCTTGGTTTGCTCAATATGCGATCCCCGAATATCCCAACCCTTTCGCTGGGGCCGGCTTTTCGTCCCGAGTCGCTCCTTCACGGTCCTGGAGCCCGCTGAGGGCCCCTGGAGGCCGAAAACTGAAGATAACCTTGCTGCACTTGCTCAATACGTTGGGGGTCTAGGCTGGCCGTCTCGGTCGCCTCTGACCGCTCCCGAAGAATCGTGCGCATACGTTTCCTTGCGGCCCGCTGAGCTTGCGCGAGCCCCATAGACGGGAAACTCGCCACGGCCACGAATTTCGGCTCGCTCCACCTCTCGGGTGCAGGCTGGCACCCGAAAGGTGCTGCTAGCGTTAACTGGCCAGTCGAATGTATCAACGGCAGGTCCTCAAATTACGGGCTGCCTCGCACGCCCCCGGGTGCTTCCGGGGCACGTCGGGTGACGTCTTCGGCGACTCCGAAGGGTGTGGTTTGCAAAAGGTGTGGCTTGCAACCCGCGCCTGTGGGGGGCGGGCGAGGACCTCGACGGAGATCTCTGCCGCGCCCCGACGGGGGTTCGGCAGACCTTTGGCGCAGCGCGGCGATCCCCTAAGCGCCAGCGGCGCCGATCGCAAACCACACCCTGGTGCACCCAGACCTGTTGTAGTCGTCAATCGGAGCCCCAGGGAAGCGCGGCTGGAAAGCCAAACTTGCCAACACGCCGTCAAATGGTCCCCAGGTGTCTGCCCTGCCCTCGTCTCGGGAGCCCTCAGGCTGTCTTTGGGGCCCTCGGGGTCGGCTCGTGAGTCCGAGTCACCGACAAGCCTGAAGGCCTCCAAGATGGGGTCCGAGTAGATTGGGTCGGAGGATCGCGCCGCATCGCCGATGCGGCAGCGAGTTCGGCGACGTATCGGCGATGCATTGAGGACGTCGGTGTGGCGAAAATCGGGTTCCACATCGAGCCAGATCCTTCATGCATCGGCAATGCGGTGCGATCCTCCCACCCCATTTACTCGGACCCCATCTGGGCGGCCTCGCCGACGCCGACGCCGACGCCGACGCCGACGTCGACGACGACGCCGCCCACGACGACGACGACGACGACGACGACGACGACGACGACGACGACGACGACGACGACGACGACGACGACGACGACGGACGACGAGCCACTCCACACCGACATGGGGAGGGCGGGGGGTGCACTGGCACCCTCCACCACGCCACGCCCACAGGGCCACGACCACAGTGGGGGAAAAAAACAAATTTGCGAGGCCTTCGCGAGGCCCGCGAGCTTAACCATCCAGCGGGGGGGGGCTCGATCCCAACTGCATTGGGGGGGACAACCCTGGATCACATAAAATTGCGCGTGTCCGCGTACACGCGCAGAGCCTTGGAAGGCAAGCCAGCCAGGTCGAACCAGTCAGCGGGCCCCGCCCATCCCCACCCTCCCTCCCATCGGATAGGAGCCAATGGTGACGCAAATGATCTTGGGAGCATCTGGCGTCCACCCCTGCGATCAAACGGAAAGCGCTCGCGCGTGGTCCAGCTCCCGACGACCTTCGGGAGCGGCCAAGAGGGGAGCGTCCAAGAGGAAGGGTGCAAATCATGGCCGGCGGCATGTGCGCGGCCCAGGGGGAGGACCAGGGACGTAACAAAACAAGAAGAGGCGCCATGAAATCTGGAGAGAGATATCATTGCCCCCGCCATGATATCCCCCCCCCCTAGTCATCACCCCCCTCTTTGCCGCCCCCGAGACCTGGCGAGGGCGACAATACCCGGGACGCGCACAGGGCGCGAGCGGAACCGCAGGAAGTCCTCGCGCGGCGCGGCGGCGAGAGCACGGCGCGCTGCGAGGGGGCAACCCTCGCCGCCCCGGAGCAGCACGGCCTCCTGCGCGCAAAATCCGCGCGGCTCCTCGACGAGACATGTCCCAGGGGCCCCCCCAGGAGCTGCCCGAGGGCCTCCCCCCGACGGCTCCCCCCCCAGGAACTCCCTCCTCCTCCTCCTCCTCCTCCTCCTCCTCCTCCTCCTCCTCCTCCTCCTCCTCCTCCTCCTCCTCCTCCTCCTCCTCCTCCTTCGTCGCCCGCGCTCGCGCAGCCACGCCTGCCGCTTCCCCCGGAGAGTCGGCGGCCGCCGCGCGAAACATCTGCACGGGGCGTGCGCGAGGGAGGCCCTCCGCCCGCTCGCGCACGGCTCCCGCCCCGAACGGGCTGGCGAGGGAGAAACGCGCCGCGCCCCGGCGTGGCCGCCACTTTCCCCTGACCTTCCAAGAGGGCTAAAAAATCGCACGCGACTTAAAACCTATCCCAAAGCTATTCTACGTCTTGGTTTCAGGCTCTTTCGCTCAGATGTTTAGGTTTTTAGGCCTCCAGTGCGAAAAAATAGCTCTCTGGAAGGTCAGGGTCAGCCGAGATCTGCGCGGCGCCAGAGCGAGACCGACAGTGCGCCCGGTCGCGCGCGGCCCTGCTGTCGACGGGTTGGCGAGCGAAATGTGTGTGCGGCGCGCCCGAGCGGGAGCCCGACTCTCGGGGAGTGTGAGCGCAGCACACGGGCGAGGGCCACACTTCGCCACTGCGCGTGCGATATGCGCCCCGTCCCATGACTGCCACGCATTTGGCAACGCCGACGACAAAACGTCCATGTTGAAAGGGAAAGCGTCGACGTTGTATGATTGGTCTGCTTGAAAGATCGGATGGTACTCCCCAGATTCGGGGATGGACAGAACCCCCTTTAGTAAAACGTGGTTTAGTAAAAACGACCTCGGGCCCAAACCTGGCGGGCGCAAGCCTAAAAAAATGACGGCCGCAGCGCCCTCTCGAGAACCGAAAACGGACAATTCACTAATCGACGTGTCAGGTTGGGGGTTGAGAAGATGTGGGGACTCTTAGGGTCCTCCCTGAATGGTCTTTGGACCATACTGCGATCTCTTGTGCTTTTTGGGGCCATCTCGAGACCCTCTGGGCTAGTTGGGGACGATTTGAAGGTCCGGGAGTCGTGTAGGGGTGTACTTTGAACACCTTGGAATGGATTGGAGCCGCGCTGGTTCTGGGGCCATCTTGGCCCTTTCCTGGCGGCAGGGCTATTGGGGGCCTTTTTGGCCCCTCTTTCAAGCCTCTGGGGCCCATCTCGAAGCCCTCTTGAGCTGCAAAACGGAATCAGCCCAAGATGTGCGAAAGTATGCTGAGCTTTGGCCAAGGTTGTCTCTTTCCGTGGACTGTCCTGGCGCCTCCTGGAGCCCAGATCGGGGCCTGATGTGTCGTGTGGGGGGCTGGTGGGCGTATACCGTCCTGGAAGACACGTGGAGGGGTGAGGGACGGGGGCGGGGGGAATCGGGGGGGCGGAGAGGGGACGAAGGAAACAAGCGCACGAACGACGGTGCACACACACACACACTCACACACACACACACACACACACACACACACACACACTGCTCCCAGCTTCAGACCACTGCTGCAAAAGAAAGACGGCTACCTGCGACAGCCCAGGCCTTATTCCTTCTGCCCCTCCTCGTACCTCCCACGACGCCACGACGACGACGCCCCCCTGGGCCAGTCCTGGGGTGCGTTCCACCAGTGGCTTCGGGGGTAGTCCAGCCGTAGGGACAAGAGCGCCCCAGGAGGCCCTTCCTCCCCCCCAAAAAAAACCTGCCCTCCTCCCCCTCCAACGAACACCTCGGCTCTGTCGTGGCGGCCTTTTGAGAAGGCGCGGGGGGGATTCAACACGGCGCAGGGATCTCTTCGAAGCCCTCCTGGCCTCTACAAGCCTCCTCAGAAGCCCCTGGCCCCGTCTAAGAATTAGATGCTCATTCTGGGGACCTTCCTGGAGCCACTCGCTCCACTCGTGCGTCGAAGCCGCGTCGAACCTGAGTCGAACCTGAGTCGAACATGAGTCGAACCTGAGTCGAATCTGAGTCGAACCTGAGTCGAACCTGAGTCGAACCTGAGTCGAACCTGAATCGAACAGATCCATTAGGTGGCCCCCAGGAAGGTCCCCAAAACGAGCATCGAATAAGAAGGTCCACGCCTTCAAAGAAGCGCCCCGCTTCCTCGGAGGCCCGACCCCCATCGCGCTGCCCCCGTCGTGCGCGCCGCCGCGAAAAGACCACCCCCCCCCCCTCGCGCACGACAGGCTCGTGTCGTGACGACTCTTGGCGGCGCGCACAAGGGGGTGGGGGGAGGGGGGAGGGCTTCTTAGAAGCAGGCTGCTTCTTAGAAGGCGCCGGCCTTACATCTGCAAAGAAGGCCCGCGCCTTCTAAGAAGCAGGGGTGCTTCTAAGAAGCCCTCCCCCCTCCCCCCACCCCCCTCTGCGCGTGGCTGAGACTCGTGCGCTGTCCGCGGGCCGCTTCCAGGCCGCTGGCGGCGTGGCACCCCCGAACGCCCGAACGCCCGAACGCCAGGGTCGCCGACGCCCCGGCACGACGCGAACCCGCTGCACCTCCGAATTCCGCGCGCCGCGGCTCCAGTAGATCTTGTTCCCCTCCAGCGTGCCCTTGAAGCCGAAGACCGCGGGGCCCGCGGCGACCCGCGGGCTCTCTCCGGCGCGCGGGGGCCCCCGGGACCCGGGCACGACGAAGATCGCGCGCTGCTGGAAGTGCCCCTGGCCACGAGCTTCCCCCAGGAGTTCCAATGAGGCCCCCACGGCCTCAAGAGCACCTCTCACGAGGCCCCATGGAGAGCCCCTGCGGCTCCAAAATGGAACGAAAAGCTAGGGGCACCTCGGACCAGAGGCTCCATTCGCAACCCCCGGGAAGAGGGGAGGGGGGGGCCAGGAAGGGGAAGGGGCGGCGCACCGCGGCCCGAGTCACGTGCGCTGACGACGCGGGGCCAGGAAAAGCGCTGAAGTGGAGAGAGGAGCCTATGGAACCCGGGAGTTTTCACGGCCCTCGCCGCGATGCCCCCACACACACACACACACACACACACGCACACGCACACGCACACGCACACGCACACGCACACGCACACGCACACGCACACGCACACGCACACGCACACGCACACGCACACGCACACGCACACGCACACGCACACGCACACGCACACGCACACGCACACGCACACGCACACGCACACGCACACGCACACGCACACGCACACGCACACACACACACACAACACAACAACAACAACAACACAACAACAACAACAACAACAACAACAACAACAACAACAACAACAACAACAACAACAACAACAATTACTAGCACGTGGGGACACTCCGTTCTCACCAGTGCCAGGGTTTTCATAGGAGGCGGGCAATACCCCCACTTTGTGGGGGGGCCGGTTCAAGCTCTACCAAATTTCCAAACGACTCTTCGCCACCACCCACACCCAGCTTCCCGCCCTATGACGTTCGGACACTTCACTTCGTGGCCTGCGGACGACCGTGGCTACTACACTGGCGCGGTGCTAAAATTCCTAAGAAACCCAATGGTTTTTGAAGATTTCGGCGTGCGCGCGCGAAGAAAAAACGAATGTGTCCCGCATGGTATTATTTGACAGGGATGATGGCCCTGGCAGGTGCGCAACCGTTGTTGGAGAAGTTCGAAGCACGTGAAAAAGTTGCTCGCAAAAGCCCGTTTGACAGAAATGATTAAAAAGTGTTGGGTTTCCTACAAATCCGCAAGAGCGCGCGGGATGAAGTTTTGACATGTTTTTTGAAAAACCATTGGTTTGTTTTATGTTTTTATGTTAAAATCGCTACGTATGATTTTATGTTGCGCGGTGCTAAAATTCCTAAGAAACCCAATGATTTTTGAAGATTTCGGCGTGCGCGCGCGAAGAAAAAACGAATGTGTCCCACATGGTATTATTTGACAGGGATGATGGCCCTGGCAGGCACGCAACCTTTGTTGCAGAAGTTCGAAGCACGTGAAAAAGTTGTTCGCAAGAGCCCGTTTGACAGAAATGTTGAAAAAATATTGCGTTTCCTCAGAAATCCGCAAGAGCGCGCGGGATGATTTTTTGAAACTTTTGAAAAACCATTGGGTGTTTCATGTTTTTATGTGAAAATCGCTACGAAGACTAAGGTTTTGGACGGATTTCGTCTTGCGCGCGCGAGTGTGCACTTCGTGTCATTTTTTGCAAAGGATTCTTGAAGTTTGGTCATGTTAGAACAAGACATGTCATTTTATAGTGTTTTTTGATAGGGAAAGCGGGCGTCAACAAAACAACCGGATCTGGATCACATCGTTTTGCCTGAGGCTTCCTCACGAAAATTATGAAAATGTGGCTGCGGCCTAGGCGCGGCGGGGGGGGCGCGCACCAGGGGCCCCAACAATAATTATTCTTTAGAATTAATAATGTTCAACAAAATGTCGGGCGTCAGCGCCACACACACACATACACACACACACACAGTTGTCGGGCGTCAGCGGGCAGGCGACTGGCCATGCCATCGGACACGTGCGCGCCGGGCGCGCGCGTGCCAAGCAGGCCAGCCCCTCACGGGGCAGAGGCAGCAGAAGCGGCAACACACACACACACACACACACACATACACACACACACACACAAACACACACACACACTTTTGCGTCGGCGGCTGGGCAGAGGGCGACTGCGCCGGTGGATTGGCAACAGGGGACACGCTGCTTGCAAATTGAGGCCGCAATGCACGGAGGAGGAGGAGGAGGAGGAGGAGGAGGAGGAGGAGGAGCCCTGGCGCGACAAGGGGAGGGGAAGCTGGGCCACTCAGAACTGCCGACAGCGGCGGGGGAGAGCGCCGAAACGGGAGATATCAGTGGCGGCACCGCGCTGCACTGAGCTGAACAGAGCTGAAGCCCGGGGGGGAGCAGCACTGTGCTGCAACTGGTGATGGAGAAGCACAACGTAGCAGAGCCCCAACCCAGTAAACCAAGGCACGGTCCAAGGATGGGCCGATGCGCCGAGACCTCTGGGCCTACGAGGCGCGGGCAGGGGAGGTGGGCGCGGGCAGGCACGAAGGCACCACGAGCGAGGGCGCCGAGGGGAAGGACTGGCGGCGGCCCTGCGCTGCACTGAGCGGCACCTGAGCAGAAGCGGGAGCAGGACGCCCGCGGAAGGGCGGCGGCAGGGGGAGCAGGGGAAGCAGAGCAGAGACCCGACCCGCCGGCAGAGGGAGAGCACCCCGATCGTCGGCCACGGTGGGAGAGCGGCGAGACCAGGAGGGCCTGCGAGGCGCAAGGCGTGGAAGAGAAAGACTGCCCGGCGATGCGTAAGCGGGCGAAGAACGGTATAAAATAAACTTTTTCGCCGTCGGGGACACCTGCCCCTGGGCGGCTGGAAAGTTTATACCCCTACGGTGCCACCGTAAGGGTGTAAACTTTCCAGCCGCCCAGGGGCAGGTGTCCCCGACGGCGAAAAAGTTTATTTTATACCGTTCTTCGCCCGTTAAATGCGCAACGGCGCAGTGAGCTGGGGCGGGAGGGAGCAGAGCCACGCCGGGACGGCAGCCGACGCCGAGGCGTGCCTTGCCCAGCGGCGAGGCGAGGAGGCACGAAGCCAGCGACACCCCGACCAAGGCGGGTGCCGAGGCCACAAGTGAAGGGGCCCCAGGACACACAAATAAACACACACAAATAAACAGATTCCCCATATTTTCCTACATTTTCTTGGGTTTTGGTCTTCCCCCCCCCTTCCCATATTTTCCCATGTTTTCCTGGGAATCGACGATTAATTGTGTCTGTGTGTTTTTGTCCCCTCCTGACGTGGGCTGAGAGGGGCTGCTGGGGCTGCGCCGTCTCCGAGAACGTCCGCTGACAGGACTGGCCGGGGGAGCTCCCCCTTCACTGAAGGGGCCCTGGGACACACAAATAAAGACACACAAATAAAAAGATCCCCCATCTTTTCCCACAGTTTCGGGGTTTTTGGTCTTCCCCCCCACTTCCCATATTTTCCCACATTTTCCTGGGAATCGACGATTAATTGTGTCTGTGTGGGGCTGTTGGGGCTGCGCCGTCTCCAAGAACGTCCGCCAGCAGGACTGGCCGGGGGAGCTCCCCCTTCACTCCAGTCGCAGGAGCATTTGCGGGAGGGCCCGCGAGAGGCTGAGGGGGGGCTGGAGCTCCTCCCTGTCCGGCCCCGCCCAGCCTCAGGGGGAGCTTCTGGCGACTCCGTACACACACACTCACACACACTCCACCAGTACTAACCCCGCCTCCTGGACGGCCCCGAAATGGAGCGGCCTAGCCCGCCTCCGAAGCGGCAGGTCACGGGAAACAAACCCAAAGGTGCGAAACCGACGACCACGACGAGCGAAAGCCGGAAGGGGCGGCCCGACCACGAAGCCGACGCATCCGAGCCGAGCCACGCGAGCCAGCCCCCAGCCTGGACGCCCCAGACTCGTGGCCGTGAGGGGGGCGATCGCACCCGCACCCTGCACAGTGAGGCGCGGGCTCCAGTGCGAGGGTAGGGGAACAGACAATGGCATAGACACGAGAGCTGGGAGGTCCGCGCGGAGCCGAGAACTCCGCGCGGACCTCCGAGCTTTTGTGTGTGTCTTTGCTGCTGTTTGCTACCCCAGAGGGAAAAGGATAGGGAAAGGACTGGCTCCGGGGGATGGGCGGGCCCTGGCTCGGGCTCTGCGGTGTGAATCGCCTGCAGGTCGGGTGTACGGGGCAGTTTTTGCAATACATGGGATTTTGAAAATATCGGATTTTAATACATGATCATTTCATGAATAAATGTATGCATGACCTCCTCGTTGTATTGAGTACTAAATCCCTGCATTTGTTATACATGATCCGCACGCGGAGCATGCATCAAAAACGGCACTGTAGGCTCCCTGGTGGCGCAGCGGCAGGCTCCTGGGCAGGTCGGAGCACCCAGGCCCAGAGCGACGAGGAGGGGGCGGTGGGGGGGGCCGAGGCTTCCCCCGTCGTCGGCGGCCCCGGGGGACAGCGAGAGGCGCGTGCTCTCGCGGCCAAGGGCCACGGCGACCCTGGGCGTGAGGGAGGTCGGCTGGCTGGCCACCCAGCCAGGCCGACGGAGGGCCAGGCGGGGTGGAAATGAACGCGGGGGGCAGCAGAGTCTGGGGCTCATCCCAGATCTGCGACGACCTGGTCTTTTCCCAACCAGCCTGTGCTGGGTGCTCACTTTGAAGAAAGCATTGTGGTGTCCGCTCCTTCTTCTCCTCCTCCGACTGCCACCTCCTTCCTGCCTCCTCCTGACCCCCCCCTCCTCCTCATCATCGTCATCATCATCATCAATCATCATCATCATCATCATCATCATCATCATCATCATCATCATCATCATCATCATCATCATCATCATCATCATCATCATCATCATCATCATCATCATCATCATCATCATCATCATCATCATCATCATCATCATCATCATCTCATCATCATCATCATCATCATCATCATCATCATCATCATCATCATCATCATCATCATCATCATCTCATCATCATCATCATCATAATCATCATCATCATCATCATCATCATCTCATCATCATCATCATCATCGTCATCGTCATCGTCGTCATCGTCGTCATCGTCATCATCATC